GGCCGTGTGTGAGAAGGGCGGGAAGGGGCTCTCCTTGAAACCAGACAAAAAGAGGCTCTCGCCCGCGAGGAGGAGCGGAGGGCCTGGGAGCGCACTCCTTGGGGGGGCTGTCCGGGTGACCTGCCTAACCCAGCGGCTTGTTTCTCTCCCCGCCAGGTTGTCTATCAAGTTCCCCTAAAGGAAAATCATGTCTTGAAGAGAAATGTGGATCAACAGCTAAGAATTAAGATTATATATGACAGAAGTGTTGAGGAGTGAGTATAATGTTGTGGTGACTTTTTTTTTTTTGCCGTATCTGAGAATGGAAATCCTGTTAACTAAAGCTTGTTTGTTTTGTTTTTATAAAATATAGTTTGCTACCTGAGAAAAGACACCTTATAAAGGTATGTCATGTTTGCTTCCCTCTTTTGTTTGTACATATTTTATTATGTGGGTGGAGTTAAGGCTTTGCCAATTCAAAGCCTTTAATGAAATGCTTGGAATATCAGCAATCTCATGTTCTCTAATCGGGGAAACCAAGGCTCTGTGTAGAGATTATGCCTTAATTCCACATACTTCCAGTGCTCTGTTGAATGTTGTTTGATGGGTGCTTGCTAGATCCTGATGGCCAAAGATTCAGGGAGCAATATGTATATAGATCTTAAAACTTTTTTGGCCCCATTAAGAGTATCTTAAATATCTCTCCTGGATTCTTTTGAGATACTGTGCAAGTAAGTACTAAAAGAGAGTCAGGCTTGAGGATTGCAGAGAGGTGGGAGCTCCAAGGAAATTTGTGATGGATAGTTCCCAGTGACCAGTAAGTTCAGGGCCGAAATAAATTCAGCCTCTTTGAAGCCGTACATTCAAATGAATACTGGCTCCCTTCTCATTTTGTCATTCCCGTAACAAAATACGGGGATATTGAAACAAAATATTTCCTAAATATATTTATAACAGTTGAACTTCTCAGGAAGTCTGGATTTCTGCTGTTCTGCAGCATCTAGCAAGTTTCATGTGACTTATGTCTGCACTGCTGCTGGGTGACTTTTACTTTTGTTCTATTTAGAACAAACTTTTTCCACAAGCTATATCTTATTTGGAGAAGACATTTCAAGTGCGCAAATCCACGGGTACTATATTACTAAGCAGGTACGTGAAAGTTTGTTGGAAATTGCTTGCTGTATTTGATGTTTGACTTTGTGTTGTATAGACTTTAAAATAAGAATAGAATAAGAGCCTAAGAAAAGACCTCCTGAATCAGACCAGTGACCCATGTGACCCAGTGGTGGTAGCAGATGCTACCATGTGGTAGCATTATTAGGGACCGTTCACAAATCTGCCAACCTTCCGTGAGTGACATCTACCTTTGTTTTATCTGAGATTTTAAAGGGTACACATGGTGCCTGTTTCCTTTTACGTGTACCCCCATGTAT